TCCAAAGGGCTTAAAAGATCACTACTTCTTTCAAAGACAGAAAACTCACTTCCTTAGATAGCCTTAGGCAGATCACTACTTCCTTACTGGTCTTTTTACCAAATTTGGACACCCTGGTGGTGTAGTGGTTAAGAGCTATGTCTGCCAACCAAAAGGTTAGTAGTTTGAATCCACCAGGACCTCCTTAGAAACTCTGTGGGGCAGTTCTGCTCTGTCCTGTAGGGTTGCTGTGAGTCTGAATCGACTTGATGGCAATGGGTTTTGTTTTTTTTTTTTTGGTTTACCAAATTTACCTAACTAATTTTCTTGTCCCCAGTCTCTTTTCTATCAATCCATCCTCTACAAAGACACCAGAATAGTATTTCTAAAATACAGATTCCCAACAATGCCTACCAAGTAAAATGTAAAGCTCCTAATTTGACAGTCAAGACTCTAATTAACTGGAGTCCTATCAAACAAACCTTTCCAGAGTCTGCTTCATTTTCTTTCCCCATGTAACCTGTACCCATGGTTGCCAGGCTATGGAATTTTATAAACCAATAATAATAGTTATAATTGGGCATTGACATAGATTTGCCAACTTTTTAATTAACCAGGTGAAGTAAAACAAGTTGCTGTAAGAAATAGTCCCAAATTTGCACCATGGCCAAAAACCAGTAGAGGTTTATTTATTATTTACCTAACTGTCCAAAGTGGGTGTTTTTGATGGCTGCTGGCTTTTTTCCATCAGTTACTCAGGCACCCGATATTCTTCCATTTTGTTGCTCTGGCATCTCCTAGGCTTTGTCATCTAAATCCAGCCAGCGTTAAGAAAAGAAAATGTGGAAGAAGAACATTTGCTTTTAAAATCCTTGGCCTGAAAATGGCACACATCACTTCCATTTACATTCCATACGACACTCATTCATATGCCAGACCTAGCTGCAAGGGAGGTTGGGCATATGGTCTATCTAGGTGCCAAGAAAAAAGAGGAGATATATTTGAGTGAAGAGCTAGCAGTATTTGCCACACTACTTTAGAGGACAAAAGACAACAAAACAAACCCCCCATCCTCTAGTAATATGGCCATCCTTCAATAAAAAACAATATAGTGGAAGAATATTATCTTAGAGTCAAGGATAGTCATATAAATTGAACAAATTTAGCTTAAATTTTTTTTGCTCCATTGACCTTATTTTCCTTAATGTTATTGTTGACCTCTGAATGTTTGATGAGAACAGGCACTTATCTGCATATCAGCATTTGAGATACTCTACCCAATATACTGTGCATACCAGACTCTGCGTTATTTCCAGCGTGCCCATGCTAGTTTTTGCCTCCATCCATTGCTTCTTTGTCTGGAATGCCCTTCCTCTAGTATCATTGCCTATGAAAGTCCCACTCATTTCCGAGGTCCAGGCGAAGTGTCTGTGCCCAACCTCCAGACAGAATTAGTCCCTTGTCCTTGGTGCTATTATGCCACTCTGCTTCTGTCCCTCGTTTAGCAGCTACCCCTCGCTAGTGTTATATTTAATTATGTTTTACTTATTAGGCTGGGTGTACTCTGAGAACAGTACAGGTTTTATTCATCTCGTAGATTCCCAAGCATAATCTTTGTCAAATAACATGTGTTTGTTGAAGGCACCCAGGAGTCTAGATGTACCAAAAAGTCGTCCCATATTTTATCCCCATTCTTGAAAACACACCAAAACATGTTCTTTTTTTTCAAATTATAAAAGTCATCCTCTCTTATGATAGCCCAGCCTTTGTGGAAGCGGTGACTCTCGAGCTGAGTCTAGAAAGGTTGGTAGGGTTTGGGCGTGTCCAGCAGGCTATATACAGTGTTCTCTGACACATTCTCAGTGCAGGACATTTGTTCAATAGATGTTCAGGTCTTCTTTGAAACTTTTATAGTGCAGGATGTTCACTTTCATGAATTATCACATAATTAATACTCAAACTCCAAGCTTGTTCTTGCACGGATCTTGGGTGGGGTGGGGGTTGGTATAAAAGCCTAATGCTCATTATTCTTAAAGGGAGTTACCAGTCTGAATTTCCAGTGCCTCCACAGGGCCATGACTTCACCATGGCAAAGGAATGGTTAGTTACAGCTGCAGACAGAGGAGCATGTAGAAAACAATCAATCACTTGCAGGCATTCATGATTCAGCTGCTACACCAAGGAAGAGATGACTTTTTAAAGTTATCTTATCAATCTTATTGGAAATAAAATATGGATTATAAGATAGTTTTCCTTTCCCTTGTTTCTCTTCTATACCCTAGTCTTAGCCAACTTTACCCCTTCAATGATTATAGAAGCTCAGTTAATATTTTACTAAAAACAGAAACCAGCAGACAGAATCTGTTCTCAGAATGCTCTCTTTGCCTGAATTACAATGCCTCCTAGATTTTCATATTTGAAAAATTAGACCTTAGATTTTAATTTTTAGGGGCTCTTTTCCAGATCCTATCAAATCCATTTATTCATTTGAAAAATTTTCAGTGATTATAGTTAGGATAGCAATTATTTCTCCCATTATATAGACAGGAAAACTGAGACTCAGATGTCAAATAACTTGCCCAGGACCACACAGTAATTGTGGCTTAAAGCTGGGTCTTCTGATTTCAGATCTGGAGCTAAGGGTGCCACATCAAGAGCTGACTGTCAGTCATCTGGCCTCAGGCAGAGGCACATGGAGCAGTGTTTGCAGTGAGGTTAGCTAGCTGCACGCTCCTCCGAGATGTCCTTAGGATGTTGGATTGAGTGGCCCATAGAGAAAATGCATTAAGATGAGTTCTTCCTTTGGTTTTGCCACCACTTGGGGCAAAGTGTACTAATGTGCTCCAGGTAAATAGAGAAGGGATTTAAAGGTCACTTAGTTTAACTTCCAGATTTTATTGATAAGAAAATTCAGGCCCCTAAATTAAATAAATTGAATTTAACTCATAAGTAAATACATAGTTATTCTTCAGAATGTCTTCTTTCCAGTTGTTTCTTCCTCACCCTACTTCCTTCTTCCCAACTTTTCTTGGCATCTCTTTTGCTTCACATGACTAGTTTGAAGAAGACGTGTTTCTATAGGCGTCACTCCATATTCCTGAGTATGTGTGGTCAAGTTTTATGTACAGAAGACATAAGTATATTATATAGAAGCAGATCCATTCCCAAAGAATTAAATACATCAAATCCTTAATCACAATTCCCTTTTAGAAATGTGTTCAGTTTAACCTCAAGATTATGACCCCCGGACACCCTTACAGCTCAGTAGTGAAGTCACTCCTGAGGTTCACCCTTCAGCCAAAGATTAGACAGGCCCATAAAATAAAATGAGACTAAATGGGCACACCAGCCCAGGGGCAAGGATGAGAAGGCAGGAGGGGACAGGAAAGTTGGTAATGAGGAACCCAAGGTCAAGAAGGGGAGCGTGTTGATGTGTCCTGAGGTTGGCAACCAAGTCACAAAACAGTATGTATATTACTTGTTTAATGAGAAACTAGTTTGCTCTGTAAATGTTCATCTAAAGTACAATCAGAAAAATAATTTAAAAAAAAAATACCCTTCCAAAATGTGTTGTTTAGCACACAGTACCTAGTGTATATTGCCTGACCAAAAAAAAAAAAAAATAGAAATCTTGTAAATATTGGTTGAATAAATGGATTGCGAAATGAAGTTGGCTGACATATATTCAGTGATTGTCCTTCTGAGGATAGCATATTTCTACTTTCAGCAGTCATATGATTATCATCTTTGCCTCAATTTTTATGACCAGTATCAGCACTTTTCTGTTTTCTACTCATTTTTATGAAATAATTAGGGCTATAAATGCACTGGAATAGTCTAATTTTTGCCCAACACTATAGTAGAGGCAAAGATGGTGGCAATGCTACAGAAACTGTATTGTTGCTTGCAGCCAGCAACACAATGAGAAAGCTTCAAGTGCTTGTTTGTTAGCTGATGTGCACAAATCCATAGGCAGTATACAAAAATCAATTTGGTGGTGTCAGTTTGTAGGGAGTTCTTGAAAGTTGAGGACTTCTTCTAGTTTGAAATATTTAGAGAAACCTATGTGACTTCTTCTTTTTTCTTTTATTATTATTTGTACTGGGAAAATGACTTTTTGTAGGTGAGATATTTAGTGAGGGTGAAATCTGTGTTTGTGTGTACTGTCTAGTGACATCTCATGACAATGGTAGTTTTGACTTTGCCTGTGGTTTTTCTCCAACCCATCAGTTTGGTTTATTTTATTTACTTTGTTCTTGTTGTTGAGAATATACACAGCAAAACCTACACCAATTCAACAGTTTCTACATGTACAATTCAGTGACATTGATTACATTGTTTGAGTTGTGCAACCAGCAGCCATCTAAGGCACAACAATTGCTCTCTATTCACCTGGAGCAACAGAGGAAGAAGGAGAGTCAAGAATAAGAGGAGAAATAGAACATGTGGCTAATTGCCTCCATGAACAACTGGCTCCTTTGCTGTGAGACCAGAGGAACTGGATGGTGCCCAGCTATCTTCACTGAACATGATCAAAAGGGGGGAAATATAGAACAGAATTTAAAAACTCATCAGTTTTTGATGGGCATCCAGCAGAAATACAGCTTGTCCGAGGCCTTATTATAACTGATGGAAGCTTAGGAATTTTAATGTCATTTTGGCCTAAACAGTTATTCTGGAATGGGGCCATAAACTTGGTGGCATCTTGCAGTCAGACACCAGATGCCTGAAGAAGAGAAGTGATTCACTTTTTCGCATGCCTCTGTATTTTCCCAATCATAATTAGCTTTTATTTATTTACAGTTGGTTTACTGCTGCAAAGTATTATGACTCTGCCTCTAGTAGGAAAAAAAAAAAAGTAAAGCTATGTTACTGAAATATCCCCCTCTGCAAATACTTATTTCAATATCGAAGCCATTGGTATTCATGCATTTACTTAGAGAATCTTTTAAACAATTTGCAAATGTGCATTTTTATTAACTAAATAAAAATTTGAATAATCATTCCATTTGGTTTTGCAGAACCCCAGCTGAAAGGAATTGTGACGAGGTTATTCAGCCAGCAGGGATATTTCCTACAGATGCACCCAGATGGTACCATTGACGGGACCAAGGACGAAAACAGCGACTACAGTAAGGAATACTAGCTTTCTGCAATCCAGTCACAAACCCAGTGTATCTTAGATTTCAAACATGGCTGGGTAGCCTTTTGAACTATTTAACTGCCTGTAAGCTGGCATGTTTTCCTTTGTTCTTCTTGCCGTCATTTCCTACAGCATAGAGATGATGTGGGAAGAGAAATTACCTACTAAATGAGAAGGTGGAGACTTGAATGAGTTCCAGTTGTTGACTGGATAAGAATATTCCATCATCCCAGTGTTTGTAGTTAAAAAACCAAAACCAAACCCGTTGCCGTCCCGTCCATTCTGACTCTTAACGACCTTATAGGACAGAGTAGAACGGCCCCATAGGGTTTCCAAAGAGTTGGCTGGTGAATTTGAACTGCCAGATTTTTTATTAGCAGCCAAGCTCTTAACCACTGTGCCACCATGGCTCCATTTGTTGTTAGGATGATGATAAATACTCGCAGGAACAATGCAGACCTGCCAGCATTAGATGGCCTTTAAATCCTGGAACTAAATAATAAAAATGTTATAATAATTCTCGGAACTGAATTTCTGGCAGATCAAAATTACACCTTAAGATACACATTGAATGTAAGTATATGTATATGTTATTTTATTTTGAGTAATAGGAAAATTGCTGATTTTAAGAGAAAAAATATGATAAATTTTTATAGTCTATTTAACATGGTACTAAAGACAGGAAGACCTGTTACAAAATTTTGTTTATAATTTTTTGAGATAAATGTGTCAGATATAAAAATATTAATAATAGTGATCCTGGAGATAGTTTGTAGCTAGTTTAACTATGGAGTTGGCTAGTTTAATAACTAAAAAAAATCATCAAAGTATGACAGAGTATTTTTACATTTTAGAAAAATTTTAAATGCAAGCTTCGGACCCAAGAGTGATCATACTCCTGTCTTTCAGTTTCTGCATAATCATATACGAACTCGTGGAGGCAAATTTGCGCTACTCTAAAATTATGTTGGGTGCCATATTGTTTCCTAAAACGTCTCTGTATTCACTAATAGACCCTTGTGGTGATTACTGTTGTTAGTTGCTGTCGAGTCAGTTGCGACTCCTGGTAATCCCACGTGTGCAAAGTGGAACTGCCCTGCAGATTGGCTGTTTTCCATGTCGCCTCATGGTGGGTTCGAACTGCTAGCCTTTCAGCTAGTAGTCGAGCGCTTAACCGTTTGTGCCACCCAGGGACTTCGTTTGATCTTTAATGCCTGGTAAACAGTAAATCGGAGCCCTGGTGAAGCAGTGGTTAAGAGCTCAGCTGGTAACCAACAGTTCAGTAGTTCAAATCCACCAGCTACTCCTTGGAAACCCCACGGGGCAATTGTACTCTGTCCTGTAAGGTCGGTATGAGTCGGAATCGACTCAACGGCAACGGGTTTTGGTTTTAAAGAGTAAATGCTCATTACGTGTTTGTCCAATTGGGTTGTATTCTGATGGATATAATTTTGTAGGCAGACTGACAATCTGGTAAATTGCATATGCTATTCTAGCAAGCTTGATATTTTATAGCAAAATATCTTTTAAATTCATAATAAAGATTGGAGGAAAGATTTACAATCCCTAAAGCATGAAAATGCTCTTATCCATCCTCTTCTAAATTATTCTTTGTTCCCTCAATATTGCACGTGATAAAATAAGAATTACAATAAAGAAAAGATCTTATTATGAAGAATTTCATCCCAGTTTTCTTGCTCTCAGTTTTTTGCAAAGTAGTTGATTCGCCTGCTGTGGTTTGCATTGTTGAGCTGTGTTTGTGTGAATGTATTCTTTAAATGATTCAAGCTTTCAACTCAGGAGAGAAGAATGAGGCTGCTTTTCTCTTCGTGTAGGATTTCCATCTATTGCATCTGCGCTTCAATGTAGATTTAGTAAGGCTTCAAGTACAGGTGGAAAGAGCCAGGGGACTGCTTAGCTGTGGCAGCCTGTACTAACTCTGAGTTATCTCTTGATTTCAGTTTCTTTTTCTATAAAATGAAGCGGCTAAAGCAGATGACAATATTAACATTCTCTTTCAGCACTATCCAACCAAACTAAAAAAATAAATAAATAAATAAAGATTGAATAATTATAAATAGACGGAGATAGATTCAGTCCCTAGATAAGGAAATGGTTGTGTCCAGTTCCAAAGGAAGCAACCCTAACCCGGCCAGGTGTCCTGTAGACGTAAGCCTCTTCTCATGGGGCAGGGGTGGGGAGTGGGATGCAAGTGTGGGGTCAAACTAACACAAATCTTTCCTTCACTGTTTCTAGAAAAAATAATAGAAAGTGCATGCTCTGCTGATGCTGGGCCAATGGCTAGCATACAACCAAACCTACATATAAAAAAAAAAAAAAGTTGCTGTGGAGTCGATTCCGACTCATAGCAACCCTATAGGAGTGAGTACAACTATCCCATTAGGGTTTCCAAGCAGCAGCTAGTGGATTCGAACTGCCGACCTTTTGGTTAGCAGCCGAGCTCTTAACCACTGCACCACCAGTGCTGCAACACCCACCTAGACATACATACATTTGCACACACGTACTTGTGTATGTGTAATAAATACACGTATCAGCATAATGGCTGTATACATCTCTCTCTCTCTCACACACACACAGGGGGTGATACATTTGTCAAATGATTTTAGAAACGGTCTGAACCTGCAAACTTAAACTAATTTTAATATTAAGATAAGCTACTCTACACAGTTTTCGATAAACTGATATTACAAATCGTTTACGATTGTACAGAATATAAAAACGAATATAAATTCGTCTGGATACCCACCCCTTGGTGTAACATTTAATTGCAAACCCCAGTGCATTTGTCTCCTCTGTGCGCTCTCCCTGGGGCATCCTGTGCTCTTTCACTACCAGATGTAACAATGACACTGAATTTGGCATACGTGTTTTCATGCAGTTTTTGACACGTATATGTAGGCTTGCATCATTTATAATATTGTTTTCCACGCTTTTAAAGTTTTCATGAAAGAAGGTATTTCTGTATATATCTTCTGCTATGTCGTTTTGCCCCCAAATATTATGGTTGTGAGTGTCATGTTGTTCTAAGTTGCTGTGGAGTCGGTTCCGACTCATGGTGACCCCATGTGTGTCAGAGTAGAACTGGCTGTGACCTTTCGGAAGCTGATTGCCAGACCTGTCTGCCAAGGCACTTCTGGGGGATTTGAACCAACAACCTTTTGACTAATAGTCAAGCACTTAACCTTTTGCATCACCCATTCTCTTTTTGGTGGATGATTATAGTTTCTATTTCAGGGCAATTGCAAACGGAGTTGCTCAGATCATTCTTACAGAAGATGGAGAGGCCTTCCCTGACCATCCTTTATAAAATTACACATCCCACTTGTCACTCTCTGTCCTGATACCCTGCTTCATTTCTGTTATAGCTCCTATGATCACCTGATGTATATATTGTTTCTGTGTGTTTATTTTTGATCTTACCCCCAGCAGAATGTAAGTTCCACGAGTGAAGAGATTTTGTCTTGATCCCTGATGTATCTATAGGACCTAGAATGGTCTCTAACACATAAATAGCACTCAATAAAAATTGACCAAATAAATGGATGTCTCCTTGTACATATGTGTAAAAGTTTCTCTAGGTCATGGTCTTAGTTTCTGAGTTCTGGTATAAATAGAAATGTGGTTGGATTTAAAGAACAGAAATTTATTTTCTCACACTTTAGGAGGCTAGAAGTCCGCCTCAGTACATCAGCTCTAGAAAGACTCTGTAGGTTCTGAGGGGAAGATCCTGGTCTCAACTTCTTAAGTCCAGGAGTTCCTCAGCTCCTTGGTAATATACACGTGGCATCTGTCTTCCCCTATGTGTGCTTGCTTGTCTCTGTGTCTGTGCTGCTCCTTATAACTCAGAAGTGATTAGGTTTAGGACACTCCCTATACTGACAGCCCTCATTAACATAACAAAGAAAACCCTATTTCTGAATAGAATTCTATCCACAGGTATAGGAGTTAGAATGCCAACATATATTTTTTGGGAACACAATTAAATCCTTAACTGTTATAGACTAAATATTTCTACCCCTGCTCCACCCGTGCGTTTTAAACTCCTTCCCCCTTTCATTTTAGTAATTTTAGACTTCAGAAAAATTGCAGAGCAGTACAGAGAGAGTTTGCATATACTTTTCACCCAGCTTCTCCTAATGGTGCCATTTTACACAGCAGCAGTACAGTTATCAAAACCGGGAAATTAACACTGGTGTAATACTATTGAGTATACATTTTGTTCAGACTGCACCAGTTTTACACTAATGTAGTTTTTCTGTCCCCTCCCCATATTTTCATTGAAAAATTTCGAATGAAAATGAATAATTTTTACTAAGACTTTTTCCAAGCGAGGCTCCAAAAAAAACCAAACCAAACTGACTCATAGCGACCCTATAGGACAGAGTAGAACTGCCCCATAGGGTTTCCAAGGAGCCGCTAGTGGATTTGAACTGCCAACCTTTTGGTTAACAGCTGAGCGCTTTAACCACTGTGCCACCAGGGCCCCAAGTGGGAACTAGGAGTAAGACTATCAGAGAGGGATTTAAATTCTGCTCATGTTTTCTATGAGAAAAATTGTAAGTCTCTAAAACTGTTAAAATGCCTTTTCTTTCTCCATCTTGTCTGTGAGTAGGAGTAAAAGCAGTAGATTGTTTGAAAAAAAAAATCTTGTTACTATAAGCATCTGTCAGAAATGTTTGGTTCGCTAGGCACCATTAGGTCGAAACAGTCTTACCCTGGTATGTGGGGTAGAATTGATAAAGACACCTGTTCTTTTGTTCATGAAGAAAAGACTAATTACATGTAATTGAGTACAAGCACAAATGGGTTTGTCAGCAGTTACAGATAAGAATATCCGCAAATGTCATGATGACAAAAAATGCAAAATTGTATTGGAATCCTGGCGCGCATGCACACACAGACACAAAAGACAATGACAATTTGGAAGGTATTAATAGGAATATTTTACATAAAATTAGAAAGGTA